ATGCACCCTCGCTTTTGATTGGTACATGCGCAACCGCTAGATGGGTGTAAGCGCGTTCTGACTGATCCCAGTGTTGCAGCTACAATCGATGCGGCAGCGGAATTTATCAGCGGAGGTGTCGGCAACGGAAGCATGAGATGAGGACACCTTGACGGCCATGAATGAATACGCAACATGCATCTCTCTTCAACAATCCGCCGCGTGCCACGGTGTTCTTTGACGCCCAGCAACAGCAGCGGCACCAGCCGCACCAGCGGAACATCACAGCCGCCCTAAACAACAACCTTCCTCCCTCGCCCCCGAAGCGAAAAAAAAACAAGAGAAACAGCCAACAAACACACCCTATATAGGGTGGGGGCACATGCACACCGCAAGCCAAAAAAAGAAAACTTTGTACCGGAACCTCGCACCTTGATGTGCCTGTAACCGAACACGGCATCGTCGGCCCCCATCATCTCCCGGATGGAGTGCATGGAAAGCTGCGGCGACCCCACGTCCACCGTCCTGATGCCCGACAGCGCGGAGAGTGTCGGGCCGATCGTGCTCCCACATGCTGAGTCGCTCTTAACCTGGCGCAGCAGCAACATTAGCATTAGCATTAGCATTAGCATTAGCGCCAAAAGCAACAGCAGCATTAGCGCCAAAAGCAGCAGCAGCATTAGCAGCGCCAAAAGCAACAGCAGCATTAGCGCCAAAAGCAACAGCAGCATTAGCAGCGCCAAAAGCAACAGCAGCATTAGCATTAGCGGCAGCAGCAGCAGCAGCAGCAGCAGCAGCCCCGTACGTGCAACCATCATTGTAATCATTTTCTGAACGTTTTGTCCTCTGCCGCACACTCTTCCCCCCTTCGCTTTTTTTTTAGTAAACGTCGAAACGGAACCCAGGACTGACAGTCCAATCTTTCTGGCCTGCGAGCAGCCTGGGCACCTAATAGCTGAAATCGGCTAACAACCACGAGTCAAACAAACAACATCAATTATCCATCCATGTCCGCTCCGCTCCACAGACTTTCGTTCGATTTTCTGTTACCGCCATCGAAACACTTTTTTTTTGGCGGCGCTTGTCTTCTCCTCCCTTTTTTAAGAAAATTCACGCAAAGACTATTTCCATTTTCCCGCTAAAGACAGAACCAACCGCAGTCGAAAGGGTGTGTGCTCAAGCCTTACCAGTCAGTGGAGGGAACCGCCTCTAATCCATCAAAAATATATATACTCCGCATAAAACAAAACTCACCGCGAACTCCTGCGTGGGCAAGCCCGCCCGCGCGCCCAGCTCCCTGAAGAAGAAGGCGGTGACGGCGTTGGTCGCGTACCGCTGGTTTGCGTTGTGCTTGAGCACCATGCCGGAGTGTATCTTGGGGCCGAGGGCGGGGTCGTGCCTGTCCTGGTAGTTGGGGTGCAGCGCGTGGGCCATGTCGGCAGAGACGAGGAAGCTGCAGCGGCGGAGAGAAAGAAGAAAAGGAACGGAAACAAGAGAGATATGCGCGTGGAGAAGGGCGGTGGTGGCGGAAGGTAGGGAGGAACAAAGAGAAGAAGAGAAGATGCATACGGACATGCACAAGCACGCGAAAATCGGGAATAGACACAGCGAGAAACAAGACGGATCAAACACCGACAGGGACAAAAAAATGAAAAGGCAAGAAGGCTCTACGTATCATGTTCGTTTGCGGCAGTCATCCCTCAGGACAAGAAAGTTGTGAGTAAGAACAAAATAACACAACAAAAAAATGCGCGGGGAGAAAAAAAAAAGAAAGAGTTTCGGAGTGAGTGAGCATGAAGCAAAGGACGGGACCGAGAAGAGGCAGAATCGAATGTGTCTTGGGTGTCTCAAGCCACATACCTCACCTGGCGCGCGTGGTTACCGTTTCGACCTCTTGCTTCTGTTCCTGGTGCTTCTGTTGCTGCCGAAAACAAGCAGTGAAAAAACCGGCTTGACTCAGCTCACCTCTTGCGCACGACTGCCTCCATGACGAAGTCTGATGGAGATGCCGCCAGACCCTTTGCTATCCTGGATTTTAGGATTCGGAAAATTCGTAGGGTTTTTGTTCGCATTCACCACACAAAAGCAACGACAAGGCCGGCGCGCGCACGCGGGGACTGGGGGGGGTGTACTCATAGTCGTGCATGCCGTAGTCGTTTGACCATTGACCTCGCATCCCTACAAAGCCGGGACGGAGCACGCCGGGTTCTCACCGGACCAGGCTCTCACATCACCAAGCGCGAAGCGCCGTGAGGTATTTGGCGAGTCGCATGAAGGGTGAGCTGCCATCCTGCTAAGGGTGTTCGGCATCTTGTGCTTACTTCCTTGCGTACGGATGACAGCTACGTATGACTTACTTTATTTTCTGGTGCTTTCACTTCCAGAGACAGTTGTAAGCACTGTGTAACTGCCTCGAGGAAGCTTGACCATTTTAACACAACGTGGTGCGATCATCCCCCGTTGCGCGGAGTGAGGTTTCTCCACCCCGCACAACATGATCTACTCGACCACCATTATGGTTACCGCCAAAAAAAAACACGAGGTAAAAAAAAAAAAACGGTAACCTGGTTGCCGAGTTCACGAAGTGAATTGGCTTGTTTTACAACGTCGTTGCCAAGCGACGAAAACCCAATACCCCGATGGCAAACACCGAGTGGGGGGCTTGTTTTACAACATCGTTGCCAAGCGACGAAAACCCAAACCCCGATGGCAAACACCGGGGGGGGCGGCTTGTTTTACAACGTCGTTGCCAAGCGACGAAAACCCAACCCCGATCACCGGGGGGGGGGGACTGGGGGGGGGAATGGTGGAGAAGTTGCGGCAAAAATATGCAATCCCAAACGTAACGGGAGGGTTGGAAAGTGGGCCGGACGCACCAACTCTGCCGGCGATCTATGTCGCAGAGGACCAACAGCGATGTTCACAACCATCAGAACCACCCCCCACCCCCACCACAAAACTCAACAACACCAACAACAGCAACCAAAGAAGAATAGAAGAAGGAAAAGAAGAACCAAGAAGAAGAACAACAACAAGAGCAAGCGCAACAGCAACACCGCCACCGCCACCGCCACCAACACCAACATCAACAACAACAACAACAACAACAACAACAACAACAACAACAACAACAACAACAACAACAACAACAACAACAACAACGACAACAACAGAAACACCACTCCAAACCACCACCACCAACAACAAGAAACACAAAAACAAACCCACCTCTTCATGCAGTCCGGCAGCAGAGTACCGGCGGCGCCGTGGCACGAGGTGCTGCCCACCTCCTCGTGGTCGAAAAGGAACACCGACCTCACCCCCTTGCACGAAGCCAGCCCGTCCCCCTCGCAACCGTCGATCAGGGCACGGATGGACTGGTTTCGCGGAAACGATTCGGGTTTCGATCAGTTTGGGTTCCGGTTCCGGTTCCGAAGGAAAAGCCACCCAGGGAAATGGGAAGGGGAGACAGAATGGAGGAGTGGGGGGGGGGGGGGGGGGGGGGGGGGGCAAAAGGGGGAAAAGTTTTTGGGGGGGGGGGGGGGGGGTCGCGGGTTTTTTCCGGATTTTATTGGGGGCCACTTGCACCGCCCCCCCCCCCGCAAGGGGAAAGTATCTTCTCCCCAAGGTCCAATTACCGCGAAGGTATTTTTTTTTTTTGTCTTTTCCTGAGGGGGGCCCCAAAAAGTTTTTTTGCTTTTTTTTTCCCCCTGACGTCCTTGT